ACTATCCTAGGTTTTGCCCATTTGTCAGTAAGAATTTTTTACTCATTTAAAACACAGTCAAATTTAATATGCTCCCTTATTCTTTTATATATTTTAATTAGTGGTGTCAAAATTAGCGCGTTAACGCAGGTGATGAATTTTTTCAGTTTAACGCGTTAAAAATGTTTAACGTAATTAACGCAGGGGTGAGGCTAGGGTTGGCTACCCCACTCACAACTGCTGCTTCTGTCACTTTTTCTCTTGACAAGAAGAGCTTTTATTCAGTCGCAGAACGACTGAGAACAGGAGACTTTCCAGACGCGCACTCCACTTCACTTCAGCGCCAGGCGAGTCAAGCGAGCACGGAAAAAAAACTGCTCTTCAATTGCACGCACAAAGGCGCCAGCGCGCGCTGTAGCCTGTATCCTTTCATATCAAAGCGCGAAATAAACTACGTGCATGCAATGTCGTGGTCAGTTAAGTCATGAAGTTACCAAAAAGGCGATTAAAGCTGCCTTAAAACTGTGCATGTATGTAATATATTTTATATGAGTCACATTTAAGAACATGTCTCTGAAATGGTTTTCAAAACTGTCCTGGAGCAGCCCAGCACTGTCTCACTCATCTAACACACCCGATTTAACTCGTCAGCTCATTAATAAAGACTTTAAGACCTGAAGTGGGTTAGAAAAGGTAAAAAGAGTCAAGAGAAAATATGATGCGTGTCAATTTCTAATTTGAAGATTGAATGTGAAACTATTGCAATATAAAAGTATATTTGAAAACTTGAATGTTAGGTGGGATTAATCGCGATTAATTTCAGAAAAAATGTGTGATTAATTAGTTATTTCTTTTAATCGATTTACAGCACACACATATATATATATATATATAATTTAATAGTGATAGCAATGATACTTTGTATAAATGTCCTCTGCAGTAGATAACTTTAATTCCAAAAATATAGCACAAATATTAAGTATATATTTCAAGTTTTTCAGCCACATTGAATTTACATTATCATACAAACATAAAAACACTGTAAACTGTAAAAATGAGTAACAACAATTTAAAGAAGACAGTCATAAAGAATAATGGATAAGGTCAAAGGTAATCACCAACAGTATTTCAATTTGGATGTCAATTCATAATCTGAATAGTTAAAAATGGCTATTTAAAAGTCTGTCCACTATAGTAGATGTCACGCAAAGGCATAACATATAAATTAAATACATATATTAAACAGCAATTAAATAACACTGTCTATTGAGTCTGAAACGACAGTCCTACTATCATGAAATGTAACACCAGCCTTAAAGCAGAGAGAGCGAGCTGAAGTTACAAGCACCTCTGGCATATAAAGGTTATAAATGTAAGGTGATGGGGCAGCGATTGGTCGAGATTAGAGCAAAAGCCAATGTAAGAAGGACATATAGAGACAGTCACAGGGTCTCACACTTTCGTCAGCCCTGGCATGAAGAGTAACGGGAGCGCCCGGTTCTATTCCATGTCCTTAACGGGGATAACAGCGTCCACTTGTCAACAGGGCCTACTTCTCATTACACCAGCCTCACTGAGCCTCCACTGCGCCAGTGAAATCTGTCACCAAAGTCCAGCACCAACGGCAATCCAAATTGAAAAACTCTGCCATGAGTAGCGGGGAGTAGGGGGTGACAGAGAAGGAGGGTGAGGGAAGAGGAATGGGGAAAAAAATCTGGTCATCAATTGCTGGCAACAGATCGCAGACGAAGATTATTGGAAGGCAACATTGCAGCAGATGTCTGATGACTGTATATTAACCTGCTTCCTGCACACACTGAACATCCAAGCCCAGATCGTCCTAATGTCAGACTGTGAGGCCTTGTCCTGCGCAATAGGAGGAACTCATAATCCATGAGGGGGAAAAAATGAAGCTACGATTTGTGCAGCAGCACTGCTGATTAGTTGGACTAACTGCGCTGGCAGCGATGGAGTCGTTCCAAGCCACAACACACAAAAACCAGTGGGCTGCCAGCAAATGTCCCTCTGTTCGGTGTTGTAATTGGGCTCACACCGGACTATGAGAGGTACTGTAGTGTCAGCCATCTTGAGAGGCTATCGAAGTGTGTACGTGAATGTTGATGCTTTTGGGCAGTGGAAGAATTACAAATGACAACCACAAAAAATTATAATAAATACAATATAAAAAGCAAATACAAAAATAATTATTTAAAATAATATATAAAGAAAAATGTATAAGAATAAGGTTTGGAACGGGGGCACAAGCACTTACAGTATAGTAAAATAGTAAATGATGGTGCTATGGATCAAGTATTGTTGCACTATAGCATACAATGTATATAATGTATAGTACAATTCAGAGAACAAATTTCTTGCAGAAGCATATGTGGTGAGGATTCACTAAAATAGGTGCCGGATCCGAATCCTGCTTGTTTTCCGACACAAATTAGGCCCTGAGCAAAACATTTGCCATATGGGAGCATACATAGTCCAAACCTATCCCAGAGTTCCTTTGCAAAGATCCTCAAGGACAAATTCAACACTGAAATTAATAAAACAGATTGTAGACCCCCAAATCTCCCTTAAACAGTTCTGGCATGACCAATGAGGTTTTGGAGGATTCTACACAGCCAAAATGCAGGTTAATGAAATACAGGGGTACCCCACTATATTTTTTTTCCAATTCTAGTCATCTCATGACAAATGTTCAACTCGATATCACAGTTTTATTTATTTTTATGAAATTTAAATGGATGAAAAATGCTTTTTCTTGACCCCCAAAGCAGTGGGGTTAAATTTACAGTATGATTCCTTCATCTTGTCTGCAAACATCCTCCATCTATTCACCATCCACACCCAAACTCTAAGGCCCTGGATCGAAGCAATCTGAAATACAAATCATCCCTTCCCAATCATCTGAGCATTACAGTATTTGACCCATTTAACGGGGGGGGGAGATAAACATGACCTGGGATGATACGGCTGGCAGTGAGTGAAAAAGGGCTGTAGGAAGCAGATGAGAAGGGTTGGGAGCCCTAAGCTGCTCCACATCTGGTGTTGTATTAAAGGCATATGGGCCGCCCCAATCAGGCCTGATGGGGGTGATGGATTTCAACCTCTGGTTTCAACCTCAGAGGATTTCAACCTCTGGTTTTCCAGCACTGCGTCATGACAGACAAGCCAGCAAGCTGTCAACAGTCTGGTCCAGAGCAAGGGATGAAGATGGCACACTATGAAAATATGAAGTCAGACTGTGTGAGTGACAAAACGTTGCACATTCAGGAGCTGCTGCAGGCTTGTCATAAAAATATCACTTTGCTTTTATGTTTTACAATAATTTCACAATAAAGGCCTGATGCCCACAAAACAAGAATAATTTGTATATTTTATATACAATTCAACTGATAAATAAAATAAAATAAAAACCTATAATAATAATAATAATAATACATCGATTCAGAGTTGTTTAAAGTGAATTTAGGCATCACAATAATCTACAGCTTGAAAATAGATATTTATTGTGAGATTAGCTAAAGATTATATTTAACACTGTTATTAAATTATTAATGTTTTTAAAGATGGGAGTGTCAGGGTAAATAAGAATGAACTACTAAATACCAAATATTGACAAATAGCAACATCATCATCATCATCATTATTATTATTAGTTTATTTATTTGTTTGTTTGAACACCATATCAGTAAATTCATGGCAACATTAACAGTATAATTTCAATACATTTACAATAATATAACATTTTCTTAAGCAATCACTATACAAAAACATGCAGGTAACAACAACAATACTGATAAAAATCATACAGAATCTTTCAATTTAATAGTGCTGTCAAGTTTTTGTTTACATAATATATGTGTGTGTGTGTGTGTTGTGTATATACACACACACAGCATATATTTTGAAAATATTTACATGCATTTACATGTATAAATTTATATTCATACACTTTATCATATATAAATATATTTAATATATAAATGTAACATTTGTATTAAATATATGCATGCATGTGAGTGTATTTATATATAGATAATAAATATACACCGTACACACACACACATAGTATGTAAACAAAAACTTTTATTTTGGATGTGATTAATCGCGATTAATAGTTTGACAGCACTACAATTTAATCAACAATACAAATTCTAAAATTCTTCCAGGAGAGACCTTTTTAAAAATTTATTTTAGTATATCTTCTGGGTAAAAAACACTGTATTATTGTTATTATTAGTATTTTGTCTTATCTATGGTACCACTCATACCTATAGCCCTGACTATAGGGAAAAACATACAGTATTATATTGATTAATGTTTATAAATATTCTCCAAAAGCCCTCGGATGAACTGAAAATAACTACTTGAGCTTGTGCAGTATGGGTACTGCTTATGGTTTGGTCTCGCCACTCTCAGTTGAACCTTATTACATTCAAATAATGGCCACACAACAGAGGCCATTATATCAAACAGGTGCCAGCAATCAACCACCAATGGAAGTCAATCACTAAGAAGAACAGTGAGGCTCCATTCATAACCTTAAATGCCAATGCAGGGCCAGATCTGGGAATGATCTGACCTTTATCATTCATAATCTGAAAGATCAAACAATGCCTATAGGCTGATTCCAGAGCAGCAACAGCCTTTACTCTGGAGATGACCAAAAACCCCCTCACGCCCCAGTGGTTTTAATTGTCTGGCTTAAGAAGGAAAAGGAATTTTACTTCGGTGTGCAGGTAGAGACAGCGGGGTTGTGTTGAGCTACTTGGGAGGTCTGAAAAGCTGTGCTCTAGTTCTTTTCATGTGAATGGGGCTTAGCCATTGAGGGGTGACCCCGTTGAGCATGTCATGGGGGTGTAATGAGGTCAGTTTACAGGTTGGGCGGCAGGTAATCCTTCGTTCATTACAGGCCCACTCGGTGGCTGTTGGGGAGGAAAAAAATCAAATGGCAGCGAGCTATAGAATAGAAGTAGATTGTATGTGTGTACAGGGCCAGGAACTTAATAACACTTGATTCAGTATGAAAGGAAACCCAGAGCCACCCGTGAAGAAGCGGCCCGGATGTGAGGGAGGGCCGTTAGTGGCAGGAGTTTGGTGTCAGAGAACAAGACAAGCTTTGTACCAGCTTTAAGAAGCAAATTAAGAGAGAGCGATGCAAGCTTACTGACTCTGAAAGACTGAGTGAAGAAACACCTGGTGATCAATAGAGCTTAGAGAGCCCCATGAAAATAGAGCGCATATAGAGCAATAGAGCCCCATAAAAGAGCCAGAGTAAGACCAGTGAGGTTACATTTGGAACTACCACACTCGTTCACACAATCAAACAAGTGGATCTGAAACAAATGAGTGAGAAAGTTATTGGAAATGCAGTTAAAATATGGAATTTATATATTCAGAATATTGGGGCATTCAAGTCTTGTCGTAAAGAAATGCACATGAACATCACCACAATGCTGGAATTATAAATGGGAAACTCAGAACTTTCTTTAAGCCCAAGGTTTTAGAGTTGAAGGTGTGTCAATTAGAAAATATGGGTGACTGAATACATACTATCTGTATTGTCCATAAATGTGTTGAAGTGAATGAAATAATTTTTATTGACAATTTGCATGTACAAAATACGACAGCATTGCAAAAACATACGTGCACATTTTTATTCATTATTTTATACAAGTAGAGTTACAAAAATTGCTACATTTTATTTTAAGAAAAAGATACATTGCGTTTGAACATACCTGACATTGTAACTACAGCGCCACTAGTAAACAGAAATGATAGAGGAGGAATAACAAATACATCATGCGCCATGTTCAGTGAGGGAAAGCATTTGGATTTGGATTTTAGCATCTCCAGAGGTAGGTGGAGCTTGACAAGACTTTTGCAATATGCAAACTGTGTAAAGGAACACTACAAACGCAAGGAATCACACTGAACCCTGAACACTAATCAACCAAAGCTGAAAGAACAAAAACCTCCAAGTAGCAACATTCTGGTCTTTTTTTCCAAACCTCCATCCTACTCTAAGCAGGCTAAGAAAATTACTTTAGAAAATGTCAATAGCCGACTTCATTCTGAAACATCTGTGCTCTTAGAGCATCATTTATAATGACGTCTTTCAGTACGCAATTCACAGTCAGGCTTAAATGGCATTTTGTTTCAGAATATGGAGTTGACTAAACTAAGATAGGAAAAGAAAAAAAAAAACTTTCAAGATTTATATTTTATATTCAGTGGGTTTTTTTCTTGAGACCTATTAAACTGTCTATCGCAGACAAATCGATTCCCATAGACCAGAGTAACAAGGCCGACACCAACTAGTTTTCTTTTAGATACCTAGTGTCCTGCATGTCTTTTGTGATGAGTTAAGGCCCGTTCACACTAAGGACGATGACTATAATGATAGCAATTACTGTAACATTTTAATACTCATTCTGATTCTGTTAGAAAGGACGTCCACACAACAACTTTAACATAGTGTACAGAAGTACAATGTGTCAGGTTCTCAGAGACTTTGCTAAGGTAAAGAACCCTGAAACATGACCCCAACTTGATAAGAATCACAAGCTGTAGAATTTTTTTTTTAAATAAGGTTTTATAGACAGATAGGTTCAGAGTGACTCTTGAGGGACCAGCATCACTTTCTCTTGTGGTTGTTTGAAGAATTTATCTTCCAGGATCTGGCAGCAAGTTTTGGGAGGTCATTTTAAGTCCATCTCCTACCCTGAAAGGTCCATCTTGCTCATTGTTAGTAGCAGCTCACACCACGACTCCCTCGCCACCTTGCTGTTGTCTGACTAGAAATGATGCTGGTACCTCAAGAGTCACTCTCAAGCGATCTGTCCATAAAGCTTTTCATAAAAATCACAACACTTCAGCTTGTGAGTCTTTTTAAGTGAGGGTCATGTTTCAGGATTTCCTGCCTTAGCAAAGTTTCTGAGAACCTGACACCTTGTACTTTTGAAGAGTCCATGTAGTTTGCACTTCTGGAAAACGGTGGCACTAGAGACTAAAGTGTTCCTGATGGTTTAATTAAATATATGAAGGTGTGTTTGCACTGAAAAGACAAAGACTCCGACTTAAATTCTCATGCTGTGATTTCAGTGCATTTCAGCAAAAGTGGCACAACTGTTTACGATTTATTTTTCCTCGAACATGTGTCTTGTGTCCGTTGTCTACTGCTATTCAAGAACCACAAAAAATTCTGTTCCCCTGCTACATGATAAAGGAATAAACCCAGGCTAATGAGCAGAATCTAGATCTCTCCTTAGGTCCCCAACCTTGCTTCTCCTCGTTATTAGAGGAGTTGAACTGAGAGGGGCGAGCACGATCGACACTCTGACCTTTGCAGCTGTTGAACGTGACCCTGAGGTTACGGTATGGTCGGGTTCAGCTGACCCGGTCAGACGCAGTTGGTAATAACAAGCATAGCAAGCTGACCCGGCCTGGGAGAGCACTGTCTGAGGCAATTATAGTCAGGCTGTGTGAAACACGGAGCTTGTTTGGAGTAGTATATAGCTAAATTATTGTCTCTTTCACCTGTCTTTAGTGAAAGGATGAGCGAGTGAGGGATTTAGTGAGAGAGCTAGAAATCCTGTTTTGTTATTGAGATGTTCACGCTGACAGTGTAGATATGAATTCTGGATGTAGTTATAACAGAACATACAGGCACAAAAACAATTCCTCCCTGAACTCCTGATACTGCTAATATAAAAAAAATAAAGATACTAAAATCCCATGATAAATTCTGCAGTCAATTTGTGTGTGACCTATGAAAAACTTGATTCTCCTCTGTGTGAACTGCCACATTATGTGTTCAGGACAATAGAGAGATGGCAAGATCCACACCTAAGAAGAGCTTAATAAAATCCAGTTAGTGCACTGCATTTTTTCTTTTTCTGGCTGGTTCATTTGCTCAGCAATTACTTCACAAGACCACTAATGTTTTCTTTTGAAATTCTCTGCCGAAAATAAATGAAAACAAGAGGGTCTGACAATAATACTGTGCATTACAAAATCAGAGTTTGATTCTCGTGATTAGGTCCCTATGAAATCTGTTTTCTTTTTTCCCCAAATTATAAGTTTTCAGTTGTCTAGATTAAATTTTAAAAACCAAAAACATGTCTAATTAAGTGAATTCATTGAACTAACAATTTAATACTTTATTAATTTTAACAACAATAGGGCCCTTTTAATGTTTTCTTTTTCAGG